AAAAAAAAAAAAAAAAAAAAAAAAAAAAAAGGAGCACTAACTAACCTGATGAGCTTGCTCAAAATGTCGCTCAAGCTCCTCAACAGTGCTTTCCAAAGAGATCTTCAGAACGTTATATTCCTCAGAGTTGCGGTTCTGCATACACCAGAAAACAATGCAACCATTTTTAAAAATTTTAGTATTTTAGTATTTTAGTATTTTAGTATTTTAGTATTTTAGTAATAATTTTACACATTAGATAATAAAAAAATTAATGAGGTATAGATGCAAGGAAAATGAGCAATAGCGAGATGACAATAAAGTTGAATAAACAGAATGCACAATCACATTGAAGACCAGATAGTATCACAGTGTCCAGAGAGTAGCATTGCACCAATATAACACCAATGAAGAATCATAACACTGAAAACCAATGTCAATGAGAGCTTGCTCTCGCCACCACCAACATGAGTATCCAGGCCCCATCTCCCTACTTGGCGCCCGGCGCCCAGCCTACTCCCTACACAGCTACTACTAGCCTACTAATTGACAATGCAACTGTTGACGTCAGCAGCCAACGAAGTACTTGAAGATGTCGCCCGTAGCAGACCACCGCCAATACGAGGTATGTGCTCTCACATCATCATCATCATCATCCTTCTCTATCTCCCTTGTCTGACACCCACGTCTTCCCTCTTCAAATCCGAAGACCACCCCTGCGCCTCACTGTACATCCAAGCCCTCAGCCAGCTATGGAGGCTGGGCTATGGCGCTGCCCTCAGTAGTGCCCTGCTTCCACACACGACCGCACGTGCGCAGCACCTTGCTCCAGCGCTAGCAGCCAGCACGCGAGCATTAGCTCCAGCAGCGCTGCCGCCAGCCAGCAAGTGCCCGAATGCCACGCCAGGCAGCGAGCTCTTTCCTATATGGAAAGAGCCTGCCTCGTTCGGCAGCCTGGCTGGACTGGCCTGGGCCCAGAAGCTTCCGGTAGGCCCCAGGATGCTGCGCCTTTGGTGCAGCTACTGGGCCTCATTCAGTTGGGGCTCTTAACTCTCTGTGTATGAGGCTGCGAATCTCGCCCAGGGCCTGTGCTTTCAAAAAGGCCTAGAAGGCCTGGGAATTTTCCTCGCTGCTCGGCCTGTGTTTCCTTCAACCAACTGGTGCGATGAAACTGCCTGGAACCCAAATACGAAATTGACAGTCGAGGGCCTCTCGTGATTTGTTAGGCCCGCCTTCACTTAGGGCGGGCACAGATGCAACAGGGGCCCCTTAGGCCTGTCGAGGATCCGAATCCTCGCATAGATAAATGTTATCGCTAATTTGATCTAATAGTATTATAAAAATTTATAACTGCATATAAGACTTTTTTTAATTGATAATGGTGAACCCAGAAGACATTCTCTAAAACAGAAGGAAACACTGTTCGAGAAAAGAAACACAGAAAAAGGAGTGTGTGATGGCACACACATGCGCTAGATAGATAGATAGATAGAGAGAGAGAGAGAGAGAGAGCGATAGAGAGAGAGAGAGAGAGAGAGAGAGAGAGAGAGAGAGAGAGAGAGAGAGAGAGAGAGAGAGAGAGAGAGAG